ACCAAATTAATTAAGGTGGATTTCTAAGGATTTTTGTTTCCATATCAATATGCAATCAAAAATAGAATCTAATAAAAACTAAAGGTATAAAAATAAGTAAATAATTGTTATATATAATGACATGGCAGAATTATGTGGCGCTTTGTATGCTCATAAAAAGTTCCTCTTTTATATATATATATTGATATATTGATTCTATACGTAGTACTCCGTATATATTACGCATGTTTTAAAATAGAATACATGTACAGAACATTCTATAAATAATGTTTAACAACATTATTTATTAATTACGTAGTATATGTTTTCTTAGCTAATATTTATAGCTCCCGGTCTCGAGGGCGTATATCATACCACCGGGTGCACGTACACCCGGGCCAGGGGCGGAGCTAGGGGGTGCCCAGGCTAGGCCCTGGCCCACCCCAAATTTGAAAAATGTCAATATTTTTAGTGTAAAAAATTTCGTGTAAATTTTTTTCCAATAATATTCTTTGTACCGGCCCAGTCTAGCCCAGTTTCCTGGCTACGCCCCTGACCCGGGCCAACTAAGGGAGGCAACCCAATAATCAATACAGGCCAAATTCTTTTTGGTGGCAATTTTGTAATTAAGTGAAAAATCGCGGCTTCCGCTAAGTGAGTATTAGTGTACTGTTAATGAGCAAAAGTCTAATTTTAATGAGTATTAAGCGTCTAATAATGAGCACCGTGTTATTACAAGAAAACTGGTATCACAACTAAAAAATGGTGACATTTTAGTAATTTAAATGAAATTTGTGACATCTGCTTAATGAGTATTAATGTATTTTTAATGAGCATGAGACCTTTTTTTTAGCATCTCAATCTCTGTTTCATATCTTTAATTCATTCTATTTTTCTTATTTTTTAAAATACCTACAATAAATCTGTATGAATCAAATATGTGAATCTAATCTATTATTATACTTTTAAAATATGCATGAATATGACATTTCAAAATAAGCATTACACCAATATTAAATGAGCATACATAATTTATGAAATGGGCAACTAAAAATTCAAAAAGCTCATTTAAATCTATAGTTTGCTCAAATTTTTATTAGTGTATACTTATTTGAATTTTCTAGCTTGATCAAAATAGCTTCACAACGAGCACGATTTTAATGAGCATACAATGAGCATACAATGAGAATTTATTAAGATGTAATTCAATATTTCCAAATACTTTGTGAAATTCTAGAGAATTCTAGGACCATGTGGATATGAGTAGAATTCTCTAGAATATTGTGGAATTATACAGAGAAATATAGTATTCTTTAAATGTGTGTAGCATGTTATAGAATCTTCTAGATTACTCTAGTCTCTAGAGAAATGTAGAAATCTCTAGAAATGTGTAGAAGGTTGTGGAGTAGTCTAGAGTGTTCTAAATAAGTGTGGAGTCATCTAGATTCTTCAAGAAGATAATAGAACCTTGTGGAGGCTTCTTGAAAGAATCTAGAATGTAAAGAGGTGGGTGGAAGATTCTAGAGAGAGAATCTTTACCCCTTTGTGAGTAGTATAAATAAATGGTGTAGCCTTTCATTTGAGGTGTGAAAGAAAGGCTTCTCATAAGTGAGGAAGAGTGAGTATTCCCAACTAGAAAATGTGAAGTGAGATACCCGTTCATTTGTACACTTGTAAAATTCAATTACTTAATACAAGAGTTTTTCTTAGCTCGTGATCCTGGTGAAGGTCGGGGTGTCCTGTTTTCCCCAATAGAATTTTCTAACGTCATCAGCTTTTCTAACGTGATTAAATCCCAAACCGACAACGTTAACACACAATATTAAAATATCATATTAAAATACAAAGTTGAAATTGGTCCTTAGGCCACACAACCAGTACGACTCTCCATCTAATCAACTCCCAGGAGCTGCACCACCTTCACCAATCACAGGAATCCACCCAACGGCACCTCGTTTGCCAGCCTCCAGCAATTCACCAAGCGACCAATACAAACGGTCGACGCCTCCTGGCCTCCTCCATCGATTGATTCGATTCGCAGGACATCTGCAAGCAGCGTACAGAGGTCGTAAGACCTTCTCCATCCCTAATCTTTAAAATTAGGGCTGTGAATAATTGCAAAAAATACCTGGTTGTACGGTATACTTTAACCCCAGCCTCACCAATGACGTACTAGCTTTCACCTACCTTTATATTAAGTCTCTGGGTGGTTCGGTACGGTATACCGAATATTTTCTCTCATACCTTTGTCGTACCAAAACTTTCGATATACAAAATTACGATACTATTACCTTACCGAAGTTTCGGTATACCGCATTTCAGCATGTTGAAATTTTGGTTCGATAACAGTACGGTATCGGTAAATTACCGTGCATGTTTCGGTATCAATACAACAAATTATCAGACTAACAAGATATACAAAATCGGTGTTACTAGTGCATATTTAATTCATTATTAAAATGTTATAAAATACAAATAATAATCTATTGATCTCACATTCTATTGAATAATAATTATTATTAATATGTAAGTAGTTCAACATGTCATGTATTAAAAATAACACATTCCTCCTAAAATAACTTAAACAATATAGATATAATTAAGGGGAAATTTGACTTTGCACCCCACTTTTTGGTTGATATTGGACTTTGCACCTCATTTTGAAAAAACTTTGATTTTGCACCTCATTTCACTTATAATTCCTTTGACTTTGCACCCCATATAGAAATTTTTCTTCACAAAATCGTATGTGTTGGGGTGCCAAGTCGAAGTTTTTTGAAAATAAGGTGCAAAGTCCAATATCATCCAAAAAGTGGAGTGCAAAGTCAAACCCCCCCTATAATTAAATCAATATTGATCTCTTAAAAAAACTAAAATTATTCAAACAACATGGATATAAAATCATTTATCCCTAATATGACGTTGTGTGCTTAGTCATTTTTATAATTTTAAAAAAATATTTGAATAAGACTTTTGGTATAACGGTATACCAGTATACCTTTTATTTTCAAAACATAAATCGATACCATACCGACGTAATTCGGTACGGTGCCATACCAATATACCATTCCGAAATTGTCGGTATACCTAAATCTTCGATAAATCCGGTATTTTTCAGTATGGTAAATGCGGTATATCGAAATTTCGGTATTTTTCCCCAGCCATAAATTTGCCCCAATTAAATTTCTTTCTCTCCATCTCCATCTCTTGATAGCTTGCTATATATTCAAATCTCTGTATTTCATTTCTGCAAGCTATTGACATTTCCGACAGTACATCACGAACTGTTTGATGTGTAAATGTTGTGTGAATGATGTGAAAAAATACATTAATAGTGATGCATGAAGTGAAATTAAAAGTTAAATAAATGTTGTGTGAATGATATGAAAAAATACATTTATGTTTTGCGCAATTGAAAATATGAGGTAATTCCTTGGATAAGACTAAATTAATGTTATTGTGCACAAATAGGACTCTCCTATTTTATAGGATCAAAAAGGAACTGTTTGGACAAAATTACCCTCAATGAAATTAAGGGGCAAATAAAAAAAACAGACCCCCCTGCCTCATTCGACGATGCCCATAGCCGCGATCCCTTCAGCACTGTTGCCACAACCATGTCAGACCGCCGCTGCAGTCAAGGGAGACCACGGCCACTGTTGCCACCGAGATTGCCGCTGTATACCTCCGGTGAGACGACTTACCCGTCCTACAACGAAAATGCATATGATGCCACTGCTAGATTCTTCTTTGAAGATGTTGACATCTTCTTAAGCATGACTACCTTTTCTGAAGGCGAATCTGGCAAAATTGCAATAATGATAACAGTCATGACAAAAAAATGGCATTTGTGTATACAAAAATATGGAATTTTAAGATTACAAATTATGGCACTTTCACATTTTAAAATCGAAAATGTGAAATAGGAGAAGAAAAATGAAGTAATGTTGCCATTAAATTCAATTCAATGCCATATAAATGCCACAATTAGTGAAAATGTCAAAATTGTGGCATTCTCAAACATGTAATATTTCCATCTCCATGAAAAAATGCCATAAATGTGGCATTTTATTTACATGTTGATGAAAACACAATAATAAAATTTAGATCTGAAAATTTATCAACACGAGCCTTGAATTTTTATTCTCACAGGTTTTGAATTCAAAATTTTCAGATAAAAAACACAGAATAGAAAACATATTAGAGTAAATTAATAGAAAACAATATTGTAGTAAATGCAAGAGGAGTAGATAATAAAAATGGAGGAAGAAGGAGAACAGGAGAAAGAAGGGGAAGGAGAAGAGGAGAAGAGGAGAAGGAGAAGAAGGGACAGGCGATTACCTGTACACACTCGGGCTGGCCGGAGTAGGTTGTGCGCTAGAGGATCTCCGTCATCCATGGGACAGAGCTGGCCTGCGATCGATGGAGGATGTATGCGAAAAAGAGGATGGGGAATCGATGGACTGGTGCGTGTGGGGTTTTAATAAAGCAGGGGTAAATGGGTAATTAGGAGTCCTATTTAGGAAAAATAAAACATTAACTCCTATTTAGGAATTTTAATCATAATTTAGTCCTATTTAAGTATTTAGGGTAAAAAACTCTTGAAAATATTTCACGCCGCTGCAACTGCTATAGTCGGTTACAGGCCGCTACCGCGATGACCGCTACCGCAATATATATATTTTTTTCTATATATATTTACTCAGCTCCCACCCACACCACCTCTATCATTCAATTCGGCTTGGCTTTTAGAGTGATTAATGGAAACTGGAAAGTACACGAATTGAACTTCACTGTAACTCTGATTAGTCAATTCTATGTATCGACTTTATAATTAATTCTATAAGCAGTACTCCGTATGTATATATATATATTAGGAGTATATATTATGTTTGAAAAAAGAATACATGGTATAGAATATAGTTTAATATACTAGCTTTCACCTACCATGACATACTAGTTTAATTTCCTAGCTAATATAGCTCCCGGCCTCAACAATGACATACTAGCTTTCACCAACCATTATATTGCACCAAAGAAATTTGTTTCTCTCCCTCTCCATCTCTCGCTAGCTACTTCAATTCTCTGTATATTATTTAATTTCTACAAGCTTTAGTCTCTCTTAGCTTTCGCTAGCCAGTGATGGAGGAGATAATTGTTGTTAATAATAATAATAAAGGGGGGCAGAAGGTAGAAGAAGAAGCACTGGATTTCAGTGTGCAAGAGAAGCACAAGATTGAGCTCCTCAGAGCTCTTCTTCACAAACGAGCTGACGACCCTCCTTTTCAGGTTAGTTACCTACAACATTTTCCTATTTCATCACCTTTCTCGATCATCCTAATTTATTTTATCTTCACATTTGATCATACGCAATTTTTATTCAGGGGCACATTCCATGTCTCAACCCAATGGAAGCTGGGATATATAGTTTATGGACGAATGATGTTTTTTTAAATTATGGACGAAAGAATTACTTTAAGGAGCAAAAGAAACTATCGAGTTACATTTATGTGTTCTTTTAATTGGGTCGGTGGTGGAGGGATGTTCGATCTTTCACCATGCTAGTTTGCTAGAATATACGTATATATAAAGGGAATATGTTAAAGTATTTGTCTCACACCAGAAAACTATAAAACAATAAAACACTATATAATGCTTTGAACTCCTCAAGTTGACCTTTTAGGATGGAAGTCAGGGTCTTAACATAATATTCGCTAAGTAGGAGTAAAAAAGTTCCTAAATAAGAGTAATTTCTGTCAAGTCTGTCACTATCAAACATTAAAATGGCAGTTTATGTCAAATTACTCATATTTAGGGAATAAAAACATGAAATTTCTATTTAGAAATTTCTGAATGTTTTTACTCCTATTGAGGACAATTTCTAATTAATAAATAAAGCGCACACCAGAATGCTTCATCAGTCGTGCACATTCTTTTGGACTTGTTGGTTTAATTTGGTTTGTCATTTGTAAAAGCCTAATGTGGTGCCGTGGTGGGTTAATCTTCTACGTAGTTTATTTAATCCAACCGGGTCAGAAAATCAGGAATATATGCGCGCTCCTATATATAAATTTCATTATTATGAATATTTTTATTTTTATTAATATAACATTATATTCAATTCATAATTTTTTATGGTAATTGGATTGATTTCAGTTTTAGATGAGATTAGACCAAATTAGATCATGCTTAAACATACTTGATTAAATGAAATCAAGTCGGACCAGGCCATGCACACTAGACCAAATCTAATCATATAAGATCGGGCTAAATCAGCAGAGAGAATTTCAATCAAATTAAAAGGCATTCTAGTTTTGTCTCCTTATAAATAATAAAAAGAATAATACGAAGTACTTGGTAATATATTAAAAATAATGCCTATATATATGTTGCGAGAGCATGTAACACGTACTCTTTGGAAGAGTCAAAACCCACCGACTACATTAAAATTTTGGTTTGTTACATACATGCCTATGCGCGCTCCGTATGTTTGTTTGTTTTATTGTTTAACTATTTAAGCTTTGGGTGGTTTAAATTGGTAAAATACCTCTAAAAAAAAAGGGTAAAATAAAGACAAACAAATGCTTGCATTGAGATTGACCCAGTCCAATAGATATTCAAAATGCATTATTTATTTTTTCCCTTCGCAAGAGTACTCTGGGTTTAGACATCAAATTTTCTCATCACCCTTAGCTTAACCTGAGTTTGAATTTTCTTTTTGCTACCCTATTATGTAGGCAGTTGATGATTACACCTTGAGAAGGTTTCTTCGTGCGCGTGATCTGGATGTTGAGAAAGCTGCAACTATGCTGATAAAATACCTAAAATGGAGAAGTGCATTTGTGCCCAGCGGTAACATCTCGCCGTCGGAAGTGCCCAACGAGATAGCGCAGAAGAAGATGTTCATGCAAGGAGTGGATAAACAAGGGCGCCCCATCGCCGTTGTTTTCGGTGGTAGGCACATCCAAAACAATAAAGGCGGCCTTGATGAATTTAAACGTATGTAAGCCCCTTTTCATTAGGGATGTTTTCTTTTGGACTGAAATTTGCTGCTCTGGTCAACGTTGGTATCTGTGTATTTTATAACTACAGAAGTCTGATCTAGTCTGGTCTTATATGGTCTGGTCTGGGACTGAAAACAATCCAAAAGAAAACATCCTAGATCTCCAATACATGGTGCAAAAGTAAGAAATAAAACTCAGTTTACAATACAAAAAAATGTAACAAAAATGTAATTAAACGTACGTTTTTACCTGGATTAATTTCAGACTTTAATTTATGATCAGATTTGATTACACGTACATAAACCAAACAAGATCCGATCAAAGCACCTTAGACCATTTGTAATGTTCTAAGTTGTTAAATTTGGACTCCGTTCATATGAAAACAATGTTTAGACTCCGTCAATACTGTTATTTCTCGCATCCGTGTACCATCAATAAAATACGCTCTACATATTTTTTATATATCAATTTAGTAAATCATTAATTAAATTATTATAAGTAATATTTTCCTTTTATTTTTTCCCTAGATAATTATGAAATAAAAAGATACACATTTCGATGTAAAAAAATAAATTTTTTTAAATTTATTAAACGGTTTTTGGTTAACAAAAAAGAACTTAATTAAAATAAAATTCGATTATGGAATATTCAGTTATTATTTGTGAAGGCTCTATGAATTAAAAATTCATGTTTCGTGCTTTTTTGGGGTTCAAGAAAACTTCAAAAGTTAAAACTTAATTTTTTCTCATTTTATATATTACATATTGGTGCCATATGAACGATCATAAAAAATCATGAATTTTGATATATTTTTTGAAAAAATTGAAGAAAAAAATAAAAAAGTAATAAGAGTTTAAAATTAAATGGGATTTTAATGACGTATGTGTGACATCATGATGACGTCATCAGAACGCATTACCAATACGCAGCAGCGGCTGCTTTTCTTCTTCTTTTCTTTTTCGTTTTCTTTTCCCCTGTCAACCAAACCTTCTATTTTTACACTCCACTTCCCTTTCCCACTTTTATTCTCCCTTTTAATCTTCCACTACACTCAATTAAGAGTCTAAAAATTCCATATTTAATTTTTTGACTCTTAATCTGCAACCACTACAAACGGTCTTAAACAACCTGATTCAAACATTATGAACTTAACATACCAATATTTCGTACTAGTATATGACTAAAATAAGGGTAATCGACCAAAATATGTTTTCGTGATTACCAATGTAACTTTCGTGATCATGCTAACTTTTATGACTATAGGTATGTTTGTCACAATTAGCTGAAAAGATACTTTTGTGAACTTTTTAATAATTGTTAGCTTTTAGTAACTGAAAAGATCTTAAAAAGAAAAGGTGGTAGCTGTTTGGTAAAAAGCTGGCTGTTTGATTTAGTTCGGTTTGGTATACAAGCTGTTCGGACTAATTAGTACTAAAAGTCACGAGCTTGTCTCAGATGCTGTCCCCGTAGCATCTCAAAAAAGATCTTTTAATTTTTGAAAAGCTCTTAAAAATTGTCATGTCAAACATACAATAGGCTATGTTTGGCACACAAAAGGCTCCACCTTCTAGCTTCTCTATTCTTTAAAATGATCTTAAAAGACTTTAGTTGTATGTTTGACATGACATTTTTAAGAGCTTTTCAAAAATTAAAAGATCTTTTTTGAGATGCTACCGGGTGTAACATATGAGAAAAGCTCATGACATTTAGTATTAATTAGTCCTAACAGCTTGTATATCAAACCGAACTAAATCAAACAGTCAGCTTTTTACCAAACAGCTATCACATTTTCTTTTTAAGATCTTTTCAGTCACTAAAAGCTAACAATTACTAAAAAGCTCGTAAAAGTATCTTTTTAGCTTGTTGTGTCAAACCTATATCAAATTGACGTGCTACCAAGGCAATGCCCCGGGCTTTACACTAGTTTCCAATCCTAAAACGACATTTTGAACTGGCATGGTGCAACGGTGGCCGTGCATAAGGCGATACATGTGTCAAGTTTGAGATCAACCAAGTTAACGTCAACATAAGTAGGTAGTCATTTAAGGGATGGTACCTTCTCATTAAAGGCAAAAGTCGTACCTAACAACCAAAAATCCCATTGGCATTCAGTATACACCAAAATTAGTTCTTTCAAAAAAAAAAAAGTATACCAAAATTAGCAACGGATCGTGGGTATATATGCATTCACGGGCATAGAAGATTAGAAGGAATCCTTGAATTAATCCAAGATCTTAAGTACTCCCTAATAAAGTACGGAGTATTAAAAACAAGTACTCCATACGTCTCATTTTACATATCTTACTTTCCTTTTTGGGTTGTCCCAAAATAAGTGTCATTTTTCCCTTTTTGGAAAGAAATATGTGGTTCACAACATTTCACTTTACTATACTCAAATCTCAACCATAACTTTTACCTTTTCAATAATAGTCGTCTATAAATAGTAAATCCCAATAATAATACCTCATAGTACGGAGTACTACATTTGTAGTTTCATTATTTCTCGTCTACTATTTTCCGGTCAATGTAAAGTGTTACTAATGTTTTACTTTATACGTAATATATCTAACTTTTATTAAATTTGAGCTTTTCTTTTGTAACTTTATAAGATTTATAATGTAATTTCTAAATATGTATATTTTATTTACTAAAAAAACTAATTTAAAACACAAATCAATTAATTTTATCATCAGTCAAACTTTAATCGCGTGGGAACCTTTCCACGGGACGAAGAGAATATGTCTTATTGAAAATCACTTATTTGATTGCAAAGTGCACATGTGACATACATGAGAGATACCATATAAATATTGGTAAATACATTATTTCTTTCCTTATTTGATTGATTTGTACAATTTTGAAAAGAATTTCTCTACAATGTTAAGAAGCCAGTCTGGATGTAGACATCGTGGTTGACATTGTTAAAAAAACTTACCAAAATTGTATAAATTCATTCAAATAAGGAGAGATATAATTTATTTACTAATATTTATGTGACTATCTCTCGTGCCACATGTGCATTGTATAGTATACATTGTAGCATTGGAGTTCCTCTCGTATAGATAATCATGAGTAGCACATCAGAGTATCAGACTCAAACTTAACACATACCTCCTCGATTTAAGATTCAAGATAATAGGAATATCCCGCCTAATCAGATACAGATAAGATCGATCATCTTGATGTTGAAAAAGATGTACCATGCGAGAACTTTAAAATTTGATTCAGGCCTATAAACCTCGATACACCTAATCATAATCAAACTGAAGATTGACACAAATTAAAGGAGTGTTTGGGTTTGCTTAAAAAAAGCGCTTTTCAGCTTTTAATTTAAAAAAAGTTGAAATTAGTGTTTTCAAATGACAGCTTCTGCTTAAATTAATCACTTAAAAGCTAAAAGCTGGAAGCAGGTAGAAGGGTGCTTTAAACTGCTTCTCACTTTTTCTATTACACAAAAAGTACTTATTTTACCAAACACTACCAACTTTTATTTTTCCAGAATCACTTTTTTCTCAAACACTACCAACTTTTACTATTAATCACTTTTCCCAAAATCACTTTAAAAAATCACTTTTTTAAAATTGAAGCAATTGCAAACACTCCCTAAACCACGCACCCCAAAATGTCAACCCATATCATGTAAATTTGATGAAAGTGAAGAACAAGCTTCCAACTCATCCACTCATGGCAGTGGCTCAGGATGGGACAGAGCATCCGTACCATCATAAATGATTTTTTATATAAATAATTTTTTTATATATAAATACACATAGAGGTGACTGAATACCATAGACATTTAAGACATTTAAGACATTTAAGAAGCATAAGAAGTTGGCTTCCAAGTAGATCGATTTTGCCAAGTATTATCCATGTTTTTATTCCAACTAAATTTAGTGATCCTAATACGTTTTCCTCCTATATTCCAAGTGTTTTTGTTGTGGCTAACCAAACACAAGAACTTGATTTTCTATTAAAATCCTCCTTAAAGATTGGAATTTAAGTTTTATATTATTGTCACATAATTCCCTATGTACGTGAACTAAACAAGGTACGTATGGGTGGGTTGGGATTAATTTATATTGTTAATTCTTCAAAAGTGAACGTACAATTAAAATTCTTAAGCATAAGAACGTAACTCCTTCCCATCCAAACATAGTGGGATCGGAGGCACCACTTCATCTTAGCTTTCTTTTTGGGACACACTATTCTTGCCATCTTACTAATTGGTTGTTGTTTTCAGGTTATGTGGCTTTGGGGTTGGACAAATTGTGTGCAAGGTTCATACAGCAAGACTAATTACGTACCCACTTTATTTTTTGTGACAAGAATTATAATAATATATATTGCAATTAATTTGGGACATTTTTTATATTTGTGGTAATATTTAGGACGTCTCCGGGCAAGGAAAAGTTTGTGGTGATAGGTGATCTTCGCGACTTTGGGTATGGTAACAGTGATATTCGGGGATACCTTGCTGCTCTATCGATCCTACAGGTTGACTATTTCTCTTTTTCAATTGGACTTTTTTCAATTCCAAATTAGATCAAACCAGACTTAAACAAATCAGATCAGACTAGACAAGTTCAGATCATACTTCCATTGGTATAAATATACAAAGACCAGACATCTATAACAATTGTCGGTACAAACATTTGCCTATATGATTTTAGTTTCAAAATGCGATGAATGACAGGACTTCTATCCAGAAAGACTTGGAAAGCTGTTTATTGTTCATGTGCCATACCTGTTCTGGACATTGTACAAGGTTGTGCACCCTTTCATCGATGCTAATACCAAGAAGAAGGTTAGCGAGGCTCTTTACTGCTTTACAGTTTCAATATTTATTCTTCAAGTCTACACGATAATTAAAACGAACTCATGAAGTCACTATTCCTTAATGATTCGACTCTCATTTCTATACATACTAATTAAAGATCGAGTACAGAACATTATTATGAATAAATGAATTACTAATTCTTTTATGTGAAAAAAATCAGTATGATGTACATACAATTTGAACACTGGCCTGTATGAAATTAATTCGAACATTATGTTCCCACTTGAAATAAGAGTAAATGGGATCATCAGAATTTTTTAATATATACTACGTACTACGTAATGTTTAGTGAAAACCATCTTACAACTTATCATGAGCCTCTTGCCGATGGAGTTCATAATGGTGAATGTGACTATACTCCACTAGTAAGTGAGGGTACAATGTCTAGAATGCATATATTATGTTCGTGTCATTATTTCATCATTTGTTTATTTATATGCAACTGTATAATTCGTACTCATAAGGTGTACCTTGTTTAACATAGTATATTTTTGTTGAAATAAGTGGATAAATTGATTTTTGTTGCCCAGCAAATTAAAGCTAAAATGGTAGCTAATTAACTCGTTTAATTTTTATGACCTAATATTATTTTCAAAAATACTTGAAAGAAAAAACAGTAAGGATCTTTTCTTTTTAACTGAAATTTGCTGGTCTGGTCTGGTCTGGTCTGTTTAAGTCTGGTCTGGTCTGGTTTGGTAAACGTCTGGTCTCTGTGTATTTATAACTACGGAAGTCTAGTCTGGTCTGGTCTGTTTAAGTCTGGTCTGGTCTAGTCTGTTTAAGTCTGGTCTGATCTGGAACTGAAAACAATCCAAAAGAAAAGTAGAAAACATCAGAAAAAATAGTTTATGAGTTAGAAATCTTGGTACTAACCAACGAGTACAACAAATTAAATGCTTTTACACTTCATTTATTAATTATTATCATATAACTAAAGCGTCCATTATTAAGTTTATTTATTGGTAAGACCTACATTTTAAAATGATGAACATTATGATATATAAATAAATTTTGAAATAACAAAATGTGGTGGCATGCAGATCGTTTTTGTTGAAAATAAACGGCTGACATCAACATTGCTGGAAGACATTGAAGAGAGCCAACTCCCAGAGATCTATGGAGGCAAACAGTCCTTGGTCCCCATACACGAAGCCTAGTTGCAGATTGTTGACCTAAAAAAGTATTGCAAACTGCATGTCACAACAAAAGAATAATAAATATGTTACACATAGATATATGGCCGTGACAAAATGAAGGTAAAAAAAATGTGACAAGCTCGATGTTTCTGTCACCCCAAAATTCGTGGCAATAATAGTGTATGTGTTTCAACGGTGATGCAGAGCAGGGAGAAAAACTAGTGAAGTTGGGATTGTGGACATTTCTATATCTGATTAATTGTAGGAGATATATATTTGTTTAATTTTATAAGATCGAAATCTTTTGTATTTTCGTACTATTCTATTATTAATAATAATATCGGTCCCGCAGTTCAAGTTGTTTCACTGTTTGAACTAAATTAAGGCTAGAGTCCGTATAATCAAATTAGTGAAATAAATTATATTCATAGCTCATATGGATTCATTTATAACGTATAATTACCACAATCTTGCTTTCAATTGCATTTTGTAAAATTCAATTCTATTAGTTTGATGAATAAAAGTTCACATTCCAACGTTATTCAAAGGCCTCACTTATATGTCCATCCAGCTCACGTTATTTGGAAAGTAACAAATCGGAAATTTAAGTACGTGTTTACAATCTGACTACTTGAGCACTAGTAAAAGGTTTGTATTACTGGTCACTGAGGTGGTGGGGTCACATTCGCAGTTAGGCACCGCGGTTCACTGGTAGGACTACAGTGTAAGTGTCATTGGGACGGCTATTCATTGTATCACATGAGTCACCTTCAATAGATCACTAGAGCCAGTGGCGTAGCTAGTGGTGGGCCAGACCTGGCTCTGGCCCAACCCAAATTTTAAAAATGTCTTTATTTTTAGTGTAAAAAATTGCATTTAATTTTTTTTTCAAAAATATTCTTTGTACCGGCCGAGTCTGGCCCAGTGTCCTGGCTCCGCTCCTGACTAGAGCATTGGTGTCAGGTCATTGCGAGGATGGTGTCACTAAAGATTTGGAGTGATAATTTATAGGGGTGGCCGGACACGGTCCAGAGGTCCAATAATTTGACGAATCCGAACTCATATCGTGACTATTGAAACAGTTCGATTTGATTCAGTCTTAGACTTAAATCCGTTCAATACGATTTCATTTCAAACGAGGCAGTACTATGCTATACTAATACCAAACAATGTCACTTTTTCGGAAAATTAATATTCAGTCATCCTTCAAAAATCCACGCAACTTATCAATTTTTATATTACATAATTAATAAATTTATGATAAACTATAGTACTCCGTAGTACACAAAACACAAAACACTAATTTGAGATGTGCATTTGTGTTTACTTAATTTGAGATGTATAAAACATAAATCCACACAATGGTATACATGTACTTCAAACCATACTTCAGTTCGGTCCGGTACCGGTCATCGCATGGATTGGAACTGACGTGCACTTAGTCGTGGTGTGCAGTCAAAATAAATATCAATACAACAATTATACGTAGTATAACGAAGTAAGGTTCGTATCCACAGGGAAAGAAATATTTCTCTTTTTAATTAACTAGTAACAAAAGGGGGGGTTTAGGTTTGAGTGATTTAATTTAATTAAATACGAAGATGAACGACTTATATGAGTTTAATTAATTGATATTAAGACCTGATTTTGCTTTTATCCACTTAATGAAATGTTCGTCGATCCCGGTTATATCTTTAACTATCTTCCTCTCGAATACTCAATCGAGGAGTATGTCCAATTCATCGAGGGTAGTTATTAATAACGAGACGCGTTCATTAATAAAACTTACTACCGAATTAATATAGAACACACGCCGTATATTTACTTGATAGTAGCAATAAATTCAAGATGAAAACGATTGAAATTGATAACCTCAACACAAGCGGTTTATTGGTTTAATCAATATAATTAATTCCCCTTAGATTATTAATCATGAGACGCATGCATTAATAATCCAAGTTTACTACTATGAAAAGATCGAACGATTAACAAGCCTATTCGTCGATCGATTCTAGTAATAATTAATACTACGTATATGAGACAAAACTAGTTGATCCTTTAAGTAATGCTCAAAATATTAGAATGAAATATGAACAGGAATTAATTAATATTCAAGGAAGATTATTAAAGAGGATATAAATCCTACTATAACTAATGTCAAGATGTTAACTGATTGTCATTTTAGCAACACTCTCCAACATTAATATAGAGGAAGAAAATAAATACTACTCTAACTAATGTCGAGATGTTAACTAATTGTCATCTTAGTAACACTCCCCTAACATTAATATAGAGATAGTATTAAGGGAAAAATTAATATTCAAGGAAGATGATTAAAGAGAATAACTCACAACTTACAAATTCATTAAGCTTCAAAGTAGCAAAACCAAGATGGAAGAGTTTAGCTCCTCATTTGGAGACTAAACATGATAGAAAATATAAAGAAAACACTAATCTAAACTGAGCTAAAAAGTATATGTGAATTGGTGATATTCATGGGAAGGAAATGGGGTGTATTTATAGGTGGTTGGGGCATGCAGGGATGTGTATCCGATCGGGCTTTCAGCTCACTCGATCGGGTACACTATGCAGTTTCCTCGAAGCTGGAAAATAGGGTCATACCCGACCGGGTCTGTCGGTCACCCGATTGGGTATGACACCCGAACGTGTTCAAAATCCTCCCTGCATGTTGCTTTGTCTTCGGGTGTGATCCGATTTGATTTTTCAGCAAGGTACCCGATCGGGTATAGGTCATACCCGACTGGGTACAGACCAAAAACGAGATCTTCACTTTTTGTCTTGCATTTTTGCACCTTCCTTCCACTTTTGGGGTTCACCAATGGTCCCTTGAATGATCTTGGACTTGTTTGAGCTCAGAATAAACCTAATCTAAACAAATTACAAACATTTTTACAAACTAAACTATTACACCAAAAGTGTGTAATTTCCAACGTAACAATCAATCTAAACTAATTAAAAACACAAACATAAACATGGAAATTACATGAATGTCAACTGCCCCACACTTAGTTTCTTTACTCGTCCTCGAGTAAAGTCAAATGTTTATACAATGTTCATCAGAAGATCATAACTTCAAAGATAGCAAGAAATAAGAAACTAAGACCACCAAGTATTGTAAATGAGTTTACAAAACAACATTTCCTTGGGTTTAAGGGTCTTCTATGTTCCTTACTTCTTCATTTCCTCTTCTTCTTCTTTTCTTCTTTAAGAGATGATGTCCTGCAAAAAAAAAATCTCTCATTTCTCTCATTTTGCCTAGGAGCCTTTTCAGGTTTTCATCCTAGCATCTTAATGTGAGTTTTCTCTCACTTAAAATGGTTGTAGAAAAGTGGTTGAAAGTACGAGTATCGTCTCCACAGGGACAGACAAAAGAGAATTAAAGATTAACTAAATTCAGCGATTAACAAGAAATAAATAAAATAAAATGCAATTGTGCGAGATTGGTTAATTGAATAAAATAAAACTAACGCTAATGAGCAAATAAAAAGATTGGGTTTTTCCTTAATTAACGACGAAGGGAACAGGAATTCATTCCGGGGTTAACCAGATTTCTGGCAGAACAGGCCGAATTACATGAATTTAATTTAATTGAGTCTAGCTAATCATTACTAAGTTCTTACCGCTCTCGCGGCGTAGAGTACAATAATTTAGGGGACCAGGCTGATATCTCAAGCGTCAGGATCCTAAATTATTGCCAAGACGAGCGAGCTTACGGCCCCTTAATCGCTACTAATCTCTTAGCGAATGATTAAGTGTGTGTGAATGTGTCCTAGAATAAATTAGATCTCTCTTAATTTATTCTACAAGCTATTGTAATTCTAGTCGCGATTCTAGGTTACAAAAGATATCAGTTAAATTATTCAAACACAAATTAAACGACATTCATACAATTAAACCGAAGAGAATCTAGCCTTCATTCATGATTAACCCCTTCATCAACTCCAAATCCCTAATTAAACTACTCACGCATCATAATTGATGAATCAAAAGAATTGGGATGAATAGAATAGATTGTCATTAATTAAAAGAATTGATCTTACAAAGAATCTCAGGTTCTCGAAGTAAACAACGTAAAAACGCAGGTAAAATTTGTCCTAGGCCTCTCCACAAAGTTCGTCACCCCCAAACGGGGTTATGGAGGCCTTATTTATAGAAAACAACGAATTCGGGTCGAATTAGGACCAATCGCGGCCAGGCACGGCGCCAGGCACGACCGTGCCTGCGGAAGAGGCCCGTAATTCGCGTCCAGGCACGGCGTGCCTAACTGCCAGGCACGACCGTGTAATTATCATTTGCTTGAAATCTCTCATTCTTGACCTTCTGAATCCATTTCATGTCACGATTTGAAATATCACCTGTCTTGCTCCCGATAGAAAAAGAGACATAGTTTTCAATCACAAGCCTTCAAGATACTAGTATTGGTCCCTGAAGCAGTCACGTGGTTAAAGCTCCTGTTAGTTAAAATAAGAGTTTTTTACAAGAATATTACTAAATTAAAACTTATTTACATAAGTATGACTATTCATTACTACAACGTAGTGTTGTGGTAATTTAAATTCAAAGCATGAACATGAATTACTATGATTTCATTACTACTCTAGTAACTAATCATATTTTTGTAAATCATCTTTATTTATGTCATATTTATGTAATTATTTCTTAAAATAAATTAAATTTAAATGATACATTAACTTGACAATAAACAAGTATTACGTAATATTCAAACCCCATTAATAAAGAAGTCATAGAGAAAACATACACAAGCTACTGGTACTTTACAAGATGAACTCACATAATTGTCTGTACACAGACAATTTGACCGGCTATACAGGCAAATTGAGTGGCAATTTATGAAGAAAATCGATTTTATACAGTCAAAAATAAAAAAAATGTCTGTATCACAGATACTTTATAATAAAAAAGTCATAGAGAAGACATACACAAGCTATTGGTACTTTACAAGATGCACTCACATAATTGTCTGTACACAGACAACTTGACCGGCTACACAGGCAAATTGAGTGGCGATTTATGAAGAAAATCGATTTTATACAGACAAAAATAAAAAAAATTGTCTGTATCACATATACTTTATAATAAAGAAGTCATAGAGAAGACATACACAAGCTATTGGTACTTTACAAGATGTACTCACATAATTGTCTGTACACAGACAACTTGATAGAAATAAAAAAAATGTCTGTATCACAGACACTTTATGAAAAATTACGATCTAAAATGTCTGCGATACAGACAAATCTTTATATTTTGTCTGTGAAAATCGATTTAACAGACAAATCTTAATATTTTGTCTGTGAAAATCGATTTAACAGACAAATCTTTATATTTTGTCTGTGATACAGACAAAAATTTAAATGATAAATATCAAAAAATCTATTTAGTATAACAAGTGTAATAAGTACTAGTATTCAACATCATAACAACATACCATAACAACATATGTGACATACAAAATTAAAAAGGGAACATATATACCCTAAATGCACAAAAAAATATCAAAATAAAGTATTACCTCATGAATAATATTTGAGAGAGCAAAGTAAATTCAAGTTGTGACTCCTCCTATTTTTCTGACCGGATTTAGATCTGCAAAAAAAGTGAGAGCAAACAGGAAAAAAAAAGAAAAGAGAAGAAAAAAGATGGAGAAAGGGAGATAAAGAGAGGAAAGAAAAAGAAAAGAGGGAAAGAGGAAGAGAAAAGAAATGAAGATAGAGGGAGAAGAAAAGAGGCTGGAGATGTTGGGCGCAGGGAGGGAGAGAAAAGAAAAAGGAAAGAGGTATAGGGAGAAGGAAGTTGGGCGCAGGGAAGGAGAGGAAAAAATGAAAAGAAAGGAAGGAGGGAGGGTAGGGGTTAATAGGTTGGAAAAGAAGGGGGTGAGAGTTTTTGTGCTGTGTAGATGATGTGTACACTGCTGTGTACATAGAGCATTTCCCTACTCCGTATTATGTTCGTGTCATTATTTAATCATTTATTTATATGCAACTGTGTAGTGCGTACTCATAAGGTATACTACCTCCGTCCCATTTATATTATCCCAGAAGAGGGTGGTACGGTTATTAAGAAAAGTGGGTTTGTGTGGTTGATATTGATTGATAAAGTAAGAATAAAGTAAGAATGATTTAGAGCCACACAAACTTTGCCAAATATGGTATGAGATAATTTAAGTGGGATTTCCCGAAAAGGTAAAACGGGACAATATAAATGGGACGGAGGGAGTACCTTGTTTAACATAGTACTCCGTATATTTTTGTTGAAATAAGTGAATAAATAAATTGATTTTTGTTGCCCAGCAATTTAAAGCTAAAATGGTAGCTAATTAACTCGTTTAATTTTTATGACCTAATATTATTTTCAAAAATACTTGAAAGAAAAATCAGTAAGGATGTTTTCTTTTGGACTGAAATTTGCTGGTCTGGTCTGTTTAAGTCTGGTCTGGTCTGGTCTGAACTGATATGGTCTGGTCTGGTAAACATCTAGTCTCTGTGTATTTTATAACTACGGAAGTCTAATCTGGTCTGGTCTGTTTAAGTCTGATCTGGTCTGGGACTGAAAACAGTCCAAAAGAAAACATCCTAAGAGGTGAGACTAGAAACCAAGTAAATGTGATTTATAAAAAAAAATAGTTTATGAGTTAGAAATCTTGGTACAAACCAACGAGTACAACAAATTAAATGCTTTTACACTTTATTTATATAAAGATTTGCTGGTCTGGTCTGTTTAAGTCTGGTCTGGTCTGGTCTGGTTTGGTAAACGTCTGGTCTCTGTGTATTTTATAACTACGGAAGTCTAGTCTGGTCTGTTCTGTTTAAGTCTGGTCTGGTCTAGTCTGGTTAAGTCTGGTCTGGTCTGGAACTGAAAACAATCCAAAAGAAAAGTAGAAAACATCAGAAAAAATAGTTTATGAGTTAGAAATCTTGGTACTAACCAACGAGTACAACAAATTAAATGCTTTTACACTTCATTTATTATCATATAACTAAAGCGTCCATTATTAAGTTTATTGGTAAGACCTACATTTTAAAATGATGAACATTATGATATATAAATAAATTTTGAAATAACAAAATGTGGTGGCATGCAGATCGTTTTTGTTGAAAATAAACGGCTGACATCAACATTGCTGGAAGACATTGAAGAGAGCCAACTCCCAGAGATCTATGGAGGCAAACAGTCCTTGGTCCCCATACACGAAGCCTAGTTGCAGATTGTTGACCTAAAAAAGTACTCCCTCCGTATCACATATATCTTCCCACTTTCAAAGTGGGTGAGATTAAGAATAGTGAAAGGGGATATGAATTATTGAGGGTATGATGAGAAAATAGTGAAATAATGTGATGGAATGAAGGATAAATCCAAAAAAAAGTAGGTGTAATAGTGTATTATTTTTTAAATTATTGAGGGTATGATGAGAAGATTTAGAAATGAGAAGATATAAATGTTACGTCCAAAAAAGTAAAATGGGAAGATATGAATGTTACAGAGGGAATTATTGCAAATTGCATGTCACAAGTCACAACAAAAGAATAATACTCCCTCCGTCCCTGAATGTTGTTCCAATTGCGGATTACGAAGGTTGACTGACGATAAAGTTAAATGATCCCTGTGAAAACTCGGATTATTTTTAGTAAATAAAATTTACATATTCAGAAACTACATTAAACCCGCTACAAAGCCTGCAAAAAAAAATCAATTTTCATAAAGTTTTGATACAAAAAGTAAGAGTTTAAGAGTGATTTGAGTTGACTCTCGAAAAGCGAAATGGAAGTAAATTTAGGGACAGAGGGAGTAAATATTTTAGACATAGATATATGGCCGTGACAAAATGAAGGTAAAAAAAATGTGACAAGCTCGATGTTCCTGTCTCCCCAAAATTCGTGACAATAATAGTGTGTGTGTTTCAACGGTGATGCAGAGCAGGGAGAAAAACGGGATTGTGGACATTTCTATATGTGATTAATTGTAGGAGATATATACTTCCTCTCGTTTTTTATTCTTGCAACATTGTGATTTTTACACTATTCACAAACCTTACTTTGATCACTATTTTCTACTAATATACATAATCAAATTATTACGGAAAAAAAGTTATTGAATTCCTATCAATGTGAATTTCCAAAATATAAACTTTTTATAATGTTTACTAATACATAATTAAATATATTTACAGTCAAAATTGTGCATTGGCAAACGTGAAAGTCAAATTATTGCTAGAATTAAAGAACGGGATACTATTTGTTTAATTTTATAAGATCGAAATCTTGTGTATTTTCGTACCATTCTATTATTAATAATAATATCGGTCACGCAGTTCAAGCTGTTTCACTGTTTGTACTAAATTAAAGCTAGAGTCCGTATAATCAAATTAGTGAAATAAATTGTATTCATAGCTCATATGGATTCATTTATAACGTATAATTACCACAATCTTGCTTTCAATTGCATTTTGTAAAATTCAATTCTATTAGTTTGATGAATAAAAGTTCACATTCCAACGTTATTCAAATTTCAAAGGCCTCACTTATATATACATCCAGCTCACGTTATTTGGAAAGTAACAAATAGGAAATTTAAGGACGAGTTTACAATCTGACTACTTGAGTACTAGTAAAAGGTTTGTATTATTGGTCACTGAGGTGGTGGGGTCACATTCGCAGTTAGGCACCGCGCGCGGTTCAGTGGTACGACTACAGTGTAAGTGTCATTGGGGCGGCTATTCACTGTATCACATGAGTCACCTTCAATAGATCACTAGAGCATTGGTGTCAGGTCATTGCGAGGATGGTGTCACTACAGATTTGGAGTGATAATTTATAGGGGTGGACACGGTCCAGAACGGTTCAATAATTTGACGAATCCGAACTCTTACCGTGACTATTGGAACAGTCCGATTTGATTCAGTCGTAGACTTAAATCCATTCAATACGATTTCATTTCAAACGGGGCAGTACTATGCTATACTAATACCAAACAATGTCACTTTTTCCGGAAAAATTAAAGTTCAGTCATCCTTCAAACATTTATGCAACTTATCAATTTTTATATTACATAATTAATAAATTTATGATAAACTATAGTAGTACACAAAACACAAAACACTAATTTGTGATGTGCGTTTGTGTTTACTTAATTTGAGATGTATAAAACATAAATCTACACAATGGTATACATGTACTTCAAACCATACTTCAGTTCGGTCCGGTACCGGTCATCGCATGGATTGGAACTGGTACGATCTGGTTCAGGATATAAAAAAAATGAGACCCGTTTCAAATCTCTTTTTTCGGTTAGATACCATACTAACCAGGTTCGGTACCATGTCGGTTCGGTATTTTTGCCTACCCCTAATAATTTAGAATGTTTTTACTTGGACTTATTTAAGCCCCACACCAGACCAGACCATTTCGACAGTTATAGAATATAGATCACACAAAACCAAATTAGACCATACTAGATTAGACTAGAAAATTTGAATCCGATAAAAATATCCTTAGTACCTCACATTTTTAAGTGTTTTCAAAGTTTTGTTTTTTGAACGGAGTTGTTTTCACAGTTAGGACCTGCAACAATTCTTGGTGTACACCCTGGGTTACACCCTCTTTATTTGTCATTCCCACAGACAAAAAAGTACAAATACAGACACTTTCGATAAAACTGTCGTTGTGAAAAAATTGGTTTGCTTATTGATGTACCTTTTTGCAGATCTGTCAGAGTGGTTGCACGGAAATCAATGTCTGCGTAGACAAAAGTGTTTGTACATATACAATTTTGTCTGTATACACAGACATTTGTTTCGGTGCAATCTAACCTTGACTTTTTTTAAACATTTTTTATCTGTGTACCCAGACAGTGAAAGAAAACCAGTGTCTGTGTACATATATTTGTTGTCTATGGCGAATATTTGTAGAATGTTACTAGTTTTTTTGTTTCATCTTTCATTACAAACAATATTTATCATTATTTAGTACCATACAAACAAAAATTAGTTTTTTTGTTTCATCTTTCATTACAAAAGAGGAGGAGGAGGGGGAGGGGGGAGGGGGAGGGGGAGGAGGAGAAAGTGGGGAGGGAGGAAATAAAAAATGGGGGTGTACTGGTTATAATCCAAGATGTAGCTAAAGAATTATTCTAGAACCTATTTAGGCTTTGTTTGCAAGTGCTTAAATAAAAGCACTTTTTGGGAAAAAGTGATTAGTAGTAAAAGTTGATAGTGTTTGGTAAAATAAGTGCTTTTTGTGTAATAGAAAAAGTAAAAAGTAGATTCTACACGGAAATCGAGAAAGTAAAAGTTGGTAGTGTTTGATAAAATAAGTGTTTTTTCTTAGAAAAAAGCCACAATCACTTAAATTAAGGGGTTGCAAACAGAGCCTTAGTCATGCACGTTTTTAACAATTTAGAAGTGTCTCTTTTATCAATAATTTACTTTTTGTAATATTTTTTTGTCTTAGTTATTACTCCCTCCGTCCCATTGGACTTTGCCAACTTTGCCTTTTTTGTTGTCCCAAAAAACATTGTCACTGTTAGGACTTTTTCTGGTGTCCAATCTAGTTAGATGCCTTTGTATTTGTGTAGTTGTTAGTTAAATGTGTAATATGGGCCACAATTAAATATTAGTCCATTAGCCTCTCTTGTAAGCCATAAGTTAGTCATCCTCTCCTATAAAAGGAGGCTAACTTATGAGGAAAACCTAGCGAAGGCATAGAGCATAGAGGCATATTAGAATAGAATAGTTTCAGGCTGCTCTCTCTCTCTCTAGAGGGAGAGCATCGGCCATTTCACACGGTGTACCAAAGTTCTCGACATTTATATATTGAATGAGAAATCTATCTCCTTCTTCTATCATTCTTATGATTGTTTGATTGTTAGAAATAGGGATCAACAGGGAGGCACGACCGTGTCTGCCCAAAACGCGTGATTTTGCTCTGGAGGAACGGTC